ATGGCAAAGGTGCTGGAGACACTGGTATTATGGTAACTGTATGTATGTATTTATGGTCATACTACATAGTATATACATATGTATATGTATAAACAGTATATATGTATGTATATAAATGGGTATTGTATATATATATGTATGTAAAATCTCATTACCAAAAAAATCGCATATTGTTAACTTGCATGCCGCAACTGCTACAACTAAAAACACAAAGGAGGAAAGACAGTAGGAGCAACAACAAAATAAGAATGATATTTGCGGCGAAATGGCATTGTCACGGCGAATCGCATATACAGTTTTGAATGTATTTGTGCGCTTACAGCTCTATACATGTACATATATGTATATACATTCATATGTATGTGGAGTATTCATTCATTCAACAAAGCGATTTTTTCGCGATTGCGCCATTTGAGCGTTGACTGTCGGCATGATAACTTCGGCTTGTGTTATTTTGATTGAATTATAAGTAAAGTGTGCAGTAACTTGATGCAAAAATAAGGTAATTTACAAATTAAGCACAACAAACTAAGAGCGTTTTGGTATGGCATAAATGCTGCATTCTACATGCAATGCATTTATTTGCATAAGTTGTTTTACAGACACAAGTTTCGCTTCGACTTTTAATCACACACATTTGCATCGTGTCGATTTACAACACTTGGTTATATAGTGTTGAACATGGCATGTGTCGATATAATTACATGGAAAATATGTGCATATGAAATAAATGTTATTACCAATTGGTTAAAAAAAAGTATTACCGGTTCGCATTAAAACAAAAATTGATCTCAACGCTCATACAATAGCTTAAATATGACATCTATTCGGTGATATCTTTATGAATAGACATTGAACCGAGTACAAAGTATCTTAAATGTGGCATTTGGCAAGTGCCGGAAAACATTTTTGAAACATAACAACAATGAAGAAATAATATCTACAACATTAAAGAGCTGACGTACACAGCTGATTTGAGTCATGAACGACCAGATTCTAAAGATTTAAGCTAATCTCTGCTCATCTTTACTTCGGGGGAGCGTGTCAGATCAAAGGGCAGCTGATTAGGGTGTCCGAGAATGCGGGTGATAAACCGGCGGATCCGACAGTTTGCTCAATCAATAGTTAACAACAACTTAAAGGAATATGAACCTTTTTAATACGGCTCATAGTTTTATTTCAGAGGACCTGCTTTTCTGGCCTTAAAAGCGGTGTCGATATACTATAGTCGATATGGTCATGATCGTCTGTCCACCCGTCTATATTAGCGCAAGGATCTCAGGAAATACAACATCTTAAATAACCAAGCTTTGCGTCGAGACTCCCTTAAGCCCTAGGCAGATATGGTTTATGTTTATATTCTGTATATGAAATATACAAGAGTATATGTGGTTTGCGGGAGGTGAAACATGTAACAAGCAGAAGGAGGTGTGGCAGATCCCACAAAGTATGTATATTTTTTATCAGCATGAAAAAACGAGTCGTTCTAGCCATGTCTGTCCGTCTGTGTTGTTTTGCTTGTGAGTTTGTTTTATTTTTTGGATTTTCCCCCCACTTACCCCCTGTGGGGGATTTCCCGATTTTCCATTCGCATAATCACCTATATCTCGGAGACTATAAGACCTAGGAACACCAAATTTTAGTCCCAGATGCCTTATGTGAATACGCAGAAAATGTATATTTTGGAACCCCAGTTGGTTATTATGTGTCCGTGTTCCAAGTTTCACTATGATAGACCGATTTATCTATCTATCTATTACATTTTTCAGCTCCCGCAAACCTAATGTACTTCTGCACATTTCATTTTCAAACGCCAAGAGCTATGAAGCTGAAATTTGGGCTCAAGTATCCTATCATAGGTGAAGGTGCCCACTAAGAAGGGATTTTGGCAATTTCAAGCTCCAAAGGGGGGAAACGAGCTCCAAAGTTTGTTTGAAAATTCTGAATTTCTGCACCGATCAACTTTAAATTTGATTTTTATAATCTATAAAAGAATACAAACAAAACTGCATACTCGGATTTTGTGGTGGTAAATTTGTGGTGGAGCTTGAATTATTGGGGTTTTAATATTTATTCACCTTTTCAAATGAAAAGTTTGTGTTATACATTTTTTCCGATCGATTTCAAATTTGGGGACTGTAATCTACGTAACTAAATCTATAACTTTGCGCTCAAGGATTTTCATAATATGCATTCTACAAATGCAGGCAGAACAAACAATACAAAATATCAAACAGTTGGGGACAACTAAGTATACATACACACATACACACACACACACATGCAAGCAGCTGTTCGTGTAGTTGCGTGCAAACGATTGAAATAGCCAAAGCAAAATGTGAGACACTAATGTGTGAATGTACACACATACATACATACGAATGTACACATCTATGTATGTATGTATGTTCATTCGTCTTGCACTGACAGAGCAAGAAATGTTAATTAATTAAATATTACTTAACATTTTTAAAAGTAAATTTTTCTTTGTTTAGTACATTTGGCATTACGGTTTTCATTAGTAACTTTATGCAACAAAAACAAATTACAAAGAACGCAAATATCAAATAGTTGGGGACATCATCATTCACACACAGAACAAGCAACAGTTCGTGTCTATGTATGAAAAAGTAAAGAGAAACATGCATGCATATGTATGTACACACATATTTATATTTATGTATACATTGGACAACCGAGCCCTGTTGTTGGATTGTAATAAAAATTGTTCTATGGTTTTAAATCAATTTTTAAAACTAAAAACAACAACAACTGCAAGTCATTGGCTCGCGCTTCTTCTTTCGTTTTGATCATTTACGCCTGTTAATTTCAAAGACAAATTGCCAAAAGTTCACAGTTACCGTCGCTATGCAACGACTGCGTAAGCGATAGTAAAGCAGAAACCGAAAGCGGACCTACGCATATTCTTCCTCACGTTGCGGGCAGATGTACATATGTATGTTTGTATATGATTTGTTCTAATCGATCTCAATAAATTATAAGATGTTATTATTTAAATTTTCTGTTAATTGCATTCAAACTTCGATGGAATTATTGATTGTATCGACGGATTCAACTATCGATAGTTTTGATGCTCTAACACATAGAGCATCCGACACATGCCCATCTCTAGCATCTCAGCTGATCGCATATTTACAGCGACTTACCGTTTTAGTGTTAGCTAACAACGCTACAAATATACTCTGAACAAATCTAAGAGTCATTTATCGTTGAGCCTATTTTGTGAGTTTATTCATGCGATTTACAAAAGCAGAAACACACCTTTTACATTCACAACAATCATATTTGGAATTGAAGACAAAAATTAGTGTTGAATTAAAAAATGTAATACATTCTTATATATGTATATATGTATGTATATATGTATATAGGCGGAAAACGCCTGCATGAAAAATTTAAATGTATGTACATATCAGCGTTGCCGAACGCTCCAATTTTGGCGGGACGTCCCGATTTATAAATCAAAATTAAATGTCCCGCGTCGGACTTTTCGGGGATAACTCGACCGTGCGTACAACATGCTGAGAAAGCACACAGTTAAGTCAGGACTGGCAGTCCGCCCGGTGCGTAACGAAGATACATAAGTGCATATGTATGTACAATATGTACATATAACCATACATAGTACTTATTGTACTATATTTGCTATTTGGAAAATATACTCTTCAAAAAAATAAAATAAATTCGTCCTTTCTCGGACCTAGGAGAATCTGGATACCAACTTTGGTTGTCCCAGCTTTTATAGTTTCTGATATCCTTGCGTTCATTCGGACGGACGGAGATGTCTAGATCGATTTCTCTCGTCATGCTGATTCAGAATATATATACTTTATGGGGTCGGAGATGCTTCCTTCTGCATGTAACATACTTTGCACAAACCTAACATACCCTTTTTACATTACGGGTACAGGGTACAAAAATATTTATTTAATTAAACTTTAAAAAATTAAATATTTAATTAAAATAAATACAAATTATTCAATCATAGTACATAAGTGGAGACATATGTATGTACATATGTTTATGTTTCAACATATGCGTGTATGTATGCAGTGCAACGTTGAATCGAAGCAACAGCTGCGGGCAGAGGTTATATTTATAGCTATTGTTAATTAATTATTGAAATGAACCTATAGAGGCGAAATGGGGGGTGCATCGAAAAAAAAAAAACCAAACTCGTACTTCGGTCTTAGGAGAAACTGGATACCAAGTTTATACTTTCTGAGATCCTTGCCTCATACAGACGGACTCGGCTTGTCGCCCTGATCAAGAATATATTTATATACTTAGTGGGGTCTGCCACGCCTTCTTCTTTGTGTTACATACATTCGCACAAAACTAGTATACCCATTCAGCCTTTGGGAGGAAAGTTCTTTGACAAAATTACAGTTTAATAATAAATCAATGAAAACTATTATGCTTAAATACCTAGCACGCTTACACACAAATTGGTTTTGTTGCTGTCCGGTGAAGCTATCGAAGCCTATTTGTTCAGCTTACAGCAATAGCGTAGATTGACCAAATAATAAAAAAGTTGATTTTTCGAAGCATTATTGTAAAAAGGAATGTAGCCTTTAAGACGCTTTTTTGTAAGCATTTGTAGGCATATTTAACTGTCCTTCCCGCCAAAAACAGCTGTTTTTGCTTCAAAAAATTTGGCAACACTGGACAGCAGCAACAATTTGCGACGAATTCGCTTTGTAATTTTCTTGCTATGCATTTAGTACAAAATCAGCTGTTGGTCGCAGAGCTGCCATCCATTCTTACCAATACGAGCTGCAAGGTTTCATATTAAAATACCGTAAATAGAATTTTTGTTTGATTAATTTTGTTTTATTTCTATTGTTCTATTGTGTTGTTGTCTATCGTGTATCTATAAAACTCTTTTAGCTATTTGAATCAACGAATAGCCCCGCTAAATCAAAAGTAACGTTTTTTGCCACATTGGCATCCCTTCATAATTCAGCTTGGATGAGTGTTGTCTACTTTAATGCTTGTTCGCACTTAGGGACGACGGCGTGTTTGTTAATACATGGAGTTATTTCGATGTGTTTGTAAGTTTGCTGGATGTTTAGAAACTGATCTATGCATTACTTAAATGTAACCAAATGTGTGTTTGTTGGATGTGTTGTTATTTGTGGAATAGATCCTGTTTGGAAGGCACGTATTATGTCCCTAAATTTTTAATTTCGTCTTGTAGTGCCAGCTCGGGAGTTTATAGGTGTATACAGAATTTTAAATCGTCATTTGGATTTCATATGTATGTATATTATGTATGTATAGTATTGCGTCCGCAGAAGAGCCTGGGCATTGCCTTCATTTTACTGTCCGGAACTAATCGGCAATAATTACGGATAATAAACACATACATACACACGTGCATATGCATTTGCTCATGTGTATTTCAGATTATGTTGTGCATGCATGCATCCATTCTTATATGTACATATGTATGTACATACATACATATGTGATGTGATTAAAACGCATTGTATTTTTAATTCTAAAACGGGGACTAGCTATAATTCATAGAATATCACCGCACAATTATAATACAAATATATGCATACATATGTATGTAGGCGGTCTGTACTAAATTCTAGCTTGTTAAAATTTTGATAATATATATATTGTAAATAAACAACAATTTAAACAAAAAAAACCGATTTCAAACTATTAACAGGCACTAAAAAGTAAAATATAATTGCGTATTCTTCTACAACTTAATATTCAATATATAATGTATATAAAATTATTGTTCTTTTTGGAGTCGGTGTCAGCTAAGGAAACACTACAATATATCAATCAATCTACCAGTAATAATATGAGAATACTTTAAGAAATACTTTTTTTACAAATTAACTTTTATACGAACGACAATATACTGTGACTTTGGGTATTAATGACTTTTATTGATTTGCAAGTTAAACAATTTTTGTTTTATTTCAATTTTTATAACAGATAGCAAGTTTTGCGCTTTGTTAAACAGAAGTGGCCACAATTTAAAATTATATGTATGGTATTTTATTTAGTGGGAATATCATTTTATACAATATTTTCTTAAATAAAAAAAGTGAACATACATTAACTTCGGTATTGCTTACCATTTTTCTAACGCAATAACTAGAATATTACAAAGAGACTATGGCGGATAAAGAAAAAAATGGTTATGACGACGATGAGCCGGAGGTCGTCGGCGATGCTGCGTCACAAAAATTAGAAGAACTGAAAGCTAGTTTGCCGTTTATTAACAAAGTGATGGAAATGTGGAGGATAAAACCAAATGCATATCATAAATTAAGTATGCTGAAAGAGGTGCTCGGACGCAAGTAAGTAAAATTAATAAAATATAGTCTTAAACTGATTTTATATGAATTTTATGTATATCTCTTAGTCGTGTTTCCATGCAAACACTGGGAAAAATCGAAGGTGTAATATCAAGACTGAAAGTGCAATTCGGCCCTGTAAGTACATAAAAAAGCAGGGCTGCAAACCATTCATAAACCGAACCGGAGAGCTCGATCATTCAAATGGTTAGATTTTGATGCTAACAAAACAAATGTAGTTCTTTTCTACAAGTAAATAATAACAAAAAAAATTTTTTTGCATGGTATGAAGAATATGAATAAATTAAATTGAGTTAGCAATGTAGCAGAAAAGCTACCCTACCTTTTTAGTGCACAAAATAATTTATATTTTTCATAAAATAGCAATGACAATAAGCTATAATATATATATACAGTTGTGTTCAATGAAATAGTAGTGCCGTACCTCATCACTTTCAAAACCTTTTTTTGAGACCCTTACAGTCTACCAAAATAAACAGTAGATCTTTTTTTTTTTTTTGAAAGCCTGGAATGCAAACTGCTGATATACAGACCAATTTGGATAGATTTGGCCTTCTTAAGTTCGCTTTATTATTGATTATATTGATAAACAAACATCTTGGGAAAATGCGTTAATTTTATTTTCAGTGACTGGAAGAAAACATCGAGAAGAGAAATCTGATAGCTTACAAAATTATAGTTTCATCCAATGCCATTGTGGTACTCAATGCTATCAACTATGAAAAGAAGGCAGAGAATCGAGTCGTGAGCTTAAAGCGGCTGTTTTAGGGGAGAGACATATTGTGCGGTACAGCAAGATCAATCCGTTAACATCATCTAAAATGATAAACAAGAAAGGAATGCTAAAGCCGATCGAGCTCAAATCTTAAATACTCTGTACCTCCCACCAAAAAGGAAAAAGGGGGACAAAAATGTAATTTGAAAGTTAAATTAATTAAATTATTTAATTAAGTCATATACAAATTATTCAATACATACATACATACAAAAGTGGAGAAATGTTCATGTGCAGCTTCAACAGCATACATTTACATCAGAATCGTGTCTCTGCGTTTATATGCGTGTATGTATGCAGCACAAAGTTGAACCAAAGCAGCAAGAACAAGAGCTACGGGCAGAGCATTTTATTTATGGCTATAATTTTCTTCAGATTTTGCCTATCATAATGAAAATTGAGCATTATGGTAAGGGTTTGTTTTTCAAATACTGCTGTCGCACCTATTTATATGATGAACGGTATTATGGACAAAAGAGTGGATGTTGAAATATGCAAGAATACACAGTGCCAATTGGAAAATGCCTTCAATGAGGACATTTCAACAGGATAATTATCTGATAATTATCGCCAAATCCTGGTTTGCGTCTGAGAAGATCGACGTAATGCCATGACCAGGGAAGTCTCCGGATCTAAATCAAATCGAAAATTTCTGCGGAGATGTTAAATGAATAGTAAAACAATGTGCCCCAAATCTCTATGAAACGTTGACAGGACTTCATTAATTCCATGCCCCGTCGGTGCCAGGCTGTATTGAATAACAAAGAATTCACAAATCAATATTAATCCCAAATAAACATGTAGAACATGAATAATGAAGATTAGTTTAAGTTTTGTTGGTTTTAAAGAAATATAAAATAAGCACTACTATTTCTTTGAACAGTACTTTTCAAGGGTATTTGTGTAAAATCATTAAAAACAAAAAGAAGGCGTTTAAATGTAACGGGATTTCTCTGGTGTTATAATGCTTACATTCTAGCCTCTCTAAAAAGATATCGCTTGTTCAATTTGGATGATTGCAAGGCGAACCCGACTTTATTGGTTCAAAAATGAATAGCAGAATGAGACGAATAGAATATACCCATTTCTGTCTGATTGTCCGTACCATATATAGATTGATCAATTTATTTAGCTACCACAGGAACGATGTAAATTAACTAAGAAGTAGACACATTTTTGATTGTTATCATTTCGCAAATCAAATTTGGTATTTATTAAATAATAATTTGTATACCCTGTACGTGAAATGTGCAAGGGTATACAGGGTGCGCCATCTTTTATGTCGGTATGTAGATACTGAATAGCTTTGTCATTAGTGAACCGATTGACTTGAGTAAACCAGCGTTGAAAACATGACTTCAAGAAATTGTACAGAACCAAATTAAATAAAAATATCTCGTACTTGAAAATCGGTTGTTTATTTTCAAGGATATTCAATGTTTGCATACCGACATAAAAGATGGCGCACCCTGTATTAGGTTTGTGTAAAATGAAAAATGTCACAGGCAGAAGGAAGCGTGACAGACCCCTCAAGGTATATACATATGTATGTGTAATCATGATCAGCCTGACAAGACGAGTCGATTCTGTCTCAGTATGAACACCTGAATCTCAGAAACTATAAAAACTACAGACACCAAATTGTGCACCCAGGTGCCTTATACCTGTGTATGTATACACAGTATAAGCGTATTTAAGAATTTGGTTCCTTAATCTCAGATTAATATTGATTAAACTTTAATTGTATCTGACATGAAACAATGGTGGATTGCAGCCCTTTCATAAAAACTAGAATGTTACAAACTCACTTTAACTAAAATCAAATCTTATAGGAAATTTCTGTGACGACAGAAAACGTGCGCCATGACTCTTCACGAGTAAGATATACATTACAACAACCACCTTTTGCATTTTTTTATTATTATTCATTTTCTTCATTGTAGCGTTCCCGTTCTTCTGACGTTATTGATATTTCTGATGGCGATAGTGACTGCTCAAGTTCGCCTTCAAAGTTAACATCCGAAAAGTCGCGCGTTGCATTCACAGCAGGGCAAAAAGGAAGCAACGTTAAGGAATCAAAAATCATAGACTTAGTTGTGAAGTCATCAGAACCCACGCAAAATGTAATTCAAAGCCCTCAGTCAAAGTTTAAGGAACAATCTTACCCAAGGCCAGACAGTGCCAATGGGCACCCTAATGTACCAAATATTCACACAGAATCCTCTAAACTCGTACCCTCACTAGAGGAGGCGCGAAAAAAACTTGCCGCGTTACGTAATAATAAAATAACGGCAGTGACCCAAATACTTCCGTCATTGGCATCCAATAGTAATGACCCTCGTGGGCGAAACTTAAACTACACGGGCTTAGCAGCAACAATATCTGGTCATCTGAGCACTGAGAACAACAATAATATGGATTCCATAAGCGCTTACGTCACAGGGCCATTTGCGACACATACACCTGTGTGCCAATCTAACGCATCACCTCCTGCGCCTGGACCCGTTCCTCCTCCGCCGTCAATAAAATCGCTAAATCTGTGTTTCACTAGGTGGCCTGCTCAAACCGAACACGAAAACAATGTTACCATTCCATGTATAGGTTTGGAAAAGGGCCCCAATGCTAGGCAAACTGTACCATACTGCGACAACAAAGCCCTCAACAACAATCCGCGTGTATGTGCGACATCCGCATCATCAGGTCCACCCCCACATCCAGTCAAATTTGCTCCCAACAGTGGTGTGAACTCAATGCACCACCTAAAAGGGTCGTCAGCTGTTTGTCAGCTCGACGCTTCTAATGCCGATGAACATCATAGTATAAACGGTACCCAGCGCACCATGGATAAAAGTGACCTTGAGTCGCGACAGTTTACTGGATCAGCTATGAATGCATGCGAATCACGAGACCCAAGGCGCAAACTTTTTAATTCTAAACATCAACAACAAAAACAACGCTGTGATCAATATCTAAGTGATTCTTTTAGTCTGTACGGGCCTGCAAAAAATAGCAACGCCAATACACCGGCTTTGATGAAAGCCAATCTACCCACGTGTTGGCGGAAAAATGGTAGCAGAAACAACAGCAGTTATGACCATATTAATTCGACAACTTGGTCGAATAGCAATAATAAGACTGGAAGCAACGTCCCTCATAAAGGCTCCTACAGAAGTTGTACCCGAGGTGGACGGAATACTGACGTTGCACACAGCTCACGTTATCAAATGCCACCTATAGTCAACGAACCGCGCACCTATCGAGAACACAAAGAGGCTAAGGCAAGAGCCGAAGCTACTGCCGCATTAGCCAAAGTTCCAGATAGGCGCCAACAGACTAAAATCCCTCTCAAAGAGGTGGAATCTGTGGAGCCAACTATAAGACAAGTTCCAGAAGTGCAGCTGGATACCTCGTACCGCACTGTAGTGCTTGATGCGCCACCGAAAAAGCTCGACTTTAAGATACCAAAAAGGAGCGATATTGCCAGATCCAAGTGTAATGATAAACATATAAGCATAGATTATAGTAAAAATGAGTCCAACAAATCAGATCAGTCGAAGGAGAAACAAAAGAAGGCGAAAACAGATACAGAAGAAAAACAATCGTTAAAAAAGCAAAGCGGTAAGGTGCCGATAACGGAAGCTAAGTCTGCAAAGAAAGCATCCAATTCCACGAAGGACAAAACTAACGAGTTACCGCTAAAAGATTGCCCACAACTGTCTCAAAAAGAATTCACAGGAGATAGAACCAAAGTGAACACAGAAACCGAACATAATAATGACAAGTTATCACTATCTGGTGATATATATGTAAGAGATGCGGAGCTAATAAATATTATTCAATATGTGGCGAAGAAAACAAAGCCCTTGCGCAATAGCCCGCAGAATTCCACTACTGATGAAATTACAAGCAAACAGCATGAGTTTGCACAGCCGAGTCCTAAAGGACATCATCAACTCGTATGCACGACACCGGAGAAATTTCAAGATAGGTTAACTGAAGTAATACATAAGTCTCCCAAGGAGAAGACGGGGAATAATAGTAAGGGACCGGATGATGTATGTAGAGCCGAGAGCAACACTGGAACTGTAGAACTGCAGCAGAAGATATGTAAACTAAAAATTGTGTTAGGAGGCAATGCTCGGACTGTTGTTTTGCCTCATGCATCACCTTTTACTGACTCTCAGTCGGATAATAATAAAATGCAACTTTTGAAGAACTCCAACATCTCCGCGTTGTTGGAGCCAAAGTTGCAGCGCATAAAAAAACGGCGCTCAACCTTGGCGCCAACTTCTAGCGAGCCATTGATTGACAAGCAAAAACTCTTTGCCACCAACAGTCTCGTGTATGAGGATTTGCAACAAGAGAAGCAAAAACACAGTCGCATAAATAGAAGTCTTGTTAACATGTTCGAAAAAACAGACGATAATTGCAGCGTGTCCACTCAAAACATTATAATAGGTAAGCGGCGCACGCGCGTTACTGAAAACACACTCAATGAAGTCGAATTAGGCCGAAGCGTTTTTAAACATATTAAACCAAATGCAGCTAAAGCGGGTCCCAAGCCTAAAGATTTAACAGTGTCTGAAACGGCTGTGAAACGTAAACGTGGTCGGCCTGCGAAACAAGTGTTGATTTCAACTGTGACCGCAAATGAAGTTGAGATTGATGAATTACCTGCTGCGAAGCGTGCTCGAGCGCCTAAGAATGATAAAGAACTTTCCTCATCGGAGCCTGTGCCGACTATTCCACCCGCGAAATCCACACCTTCAAAAGTGCGACGCCGGCCCAAGCGCAATGAACTTGATAAACTTAATGAAGATATTGCTTCCATGTATTACGCAGAAGATGTTATACGTGCAACAGGTCGGCGAGCCTGTACTCAGGTGCAGTATACACTATCAAGCATAGATGTCAGCTCAGAGACCAGCAATACTTACGAAGCCGCGCCATTAGCGCGTAACATGGCACGTCGCGGACGGCCAATGGGAAGCTTGGCCGCAGCAGGCCCCAATCGAGCCACCTTAAATGCGATGCGGTTCCCATTGACTAGAAAATGTAGGGTACGTGTGAAGCGGTGCCCGCTGTTGCAATTTATGGAAAACAAAATCAAACCAAACATTAAAAATGATCAAGTCGCATGGCATGCCAAGTCGGAAGCACTCAAAACTTGCGTTGTCTGCGTCAAAAATGTCAAGGCTGCTTCTACACACTATGTACAGTACCATGGTGAGCATTACGGCGCCCGCCTTCCACCAGGTGTACTACAGGAACTGCTCGAATCCCGACGCAACAGGCCTCTATACATTATTGGCTTCCGCTACTACCACACCTGCCCATTCTGTGACAAAACGCTCTGCATATCTAACAGTTCCTGGGTGGAGCACTTCGCGCGTCACACCGGCGAAGCAAATTACCAGTGTTCAAGGTGCAGTTTTCCTCAGCATCGAGCTTCTTTAATTGAGAAACACGTGTCTGGTTGCGGCTCTGGTGCCAAAATGGTGGTCAATAATTATTATAATGTTGAAATACCTGTGCGCGCCTTCGCCTGCCATTTGTGCGAGTTTATTCAACTAAACCAAGAAAACGTTAGCCGACATTACTTACACCATCACGATTTGGAGGTGGTGGACATAGCCGACAACATTATCAACATAACACTTTACCGGACAGAAGGTGTGCCTTATATGGCGTCAGAGAGTGAGGCGGCATTCATGGACAAAAAGGGAAAGGCGGAAGAAAAACAGAAGAAGAATTCCGATAAAATTAAATTAGAAAAAATGTATGTACAAGTAAATGAGCAGAGCAGCGAAGAAGCAGACGAATTTCCGGTGGTATCTGAACCAGTTGAGGAGATGGACTGCACAGTCGTAGACGAGCCTGCGTCGCAGCTCGAAGAGGAACAGCACGATATTTGTAATGAAGTAAAGCTGGAGCTGACGGTACCTTTGTTGGAACTGGATCTCGCGCTTGAAACTGAATCTGAACATTTAGCCGATGGCAAAATTAACAAACACCTAAACAAGTGGCCATCTCCTTTGGATTCTCTCGCATTGAATACTCTTAGCAGGGCTATCCAGGACGACAACCTATCGGGTATAGGTAGCGATGAATCTGAATCTGAGCCCTTCGAAGACACTTGTTTAACCGCTGATATTATGCAGACAGTTGGAGTCGTTCCTCCAGATGAATTGGTCAATGTGGAGGCGGTCGGTACTGCGATGGTCAGTAAAGAAGCGATCGGCACTGAGACAGTTGGTAAAACAACGGTTGGTAAAAAAGCGGTCGGTAAAGAAGCGGTCGGTAAAGAAGCGGTTGGTAAAGAAGCGGTTGGTAAAGAAGCGGTCGGTAAAGAAGCGGTTGGTAAAGAAGCGGTCGGTAAAGAGATGATTGGTAAAGAGACAGACGTTGTAATTACACCTAGGAAGTCACTGTTCCAAAAGTTTAACCGGCTAATTTCCAAACTTAAAACTAAGTCCACCGGTTATAAGCAGCGCAGATCGAAGGATACTGTAAGCATGTGCAGCGACAGCGATACACCTTTTGAGAGCGATGCCTCTGTGTTGGATCCAATTCCACAGTCACAACCAAAACCGAAAGCTACTGTACCGGGGACGTTAACGCCGTCTACCAACATTGAGAACGTGGCTTATCGATTGCTTGTCCCAAAAACACAACAGTACTCCTACTACTGCATATTTCCCGGCTGCGACTTTCTCTTCTCTGATGAGCTTGAGGGTCTGCAGGTTCATTTTTCACATGATCACCCAAAAGTGCGCTGGAGTGGTCACTGCGCTGCTTGTGGGAAGCAAGTGGAGCCTGCTCAAAACTATGAGCTTTCATTAGAGCTGCAGCACATGGTTCAAGTACATGTCTATGGGTCTGTAGCAGCAATCCCAGCTACAGAGACAGAGCAGGTTCCGCTGCCTAAGCTACGTGTGCGTAGATTCACTGGCGATCGCTTGCTGGAGAGCGAAGAGCCACAGAACTTTAAGATAGGGCTGGAAGAGCCCGAGTGCAACAATAAGAACGGCAACACAATACTACGTGATCTACTAAAGGCCGATGCTCGACTGCCCAAACAACAGCCGGATCTTAATGCTGCGGGACTAGGCGAATTTCTGTGCCCCAAATCTGCGCCGATGGCGCAGTCGATATTGGAATCGACATTGAACTCCACCTCGGTTGAATTGCAACTAAATAACTCTGAACCCATTGTGGTCAATCATACTACAGAGCTGGGTCTAGCTATAGACAAAGTGTATAGTCTAGATCCTAGAATGGCCAACGCACTAGGTTTTGAAGATCCCTCAGAGCCGCTTATTACCAGCGAGACAGTGCCACTACCATCGGCTACAAATGGAGAATATGTGCTCACCCAGACGCTCTCACAGCAGTACGGCACACACAACCAGACGGAGCCCCACTCAGCCCATATAAATATTTCTATTGCATCCACCCAGCCAGAGGCGAATAAAAGTATGTCAATTGTAAGCAACCACACACCCTGTCTAATAAAGCAACCAACAGCTTCAGTTGCTGATCAGTTTCGTTGCATGGCCCCCAATTGTGGGTTCTGTGCGTGCACGTCTTTTTACATACGGCAACACATGGAGTTTCATCGAATTAGCAATTTTGGTAGTAACACAGACTATTTACGATGCGCCTACTGTGCATATATGGCGACCGACGTGGACTCATATATAGAACATGGCAACCGGGAGCACGGTTTGGATTCGGAATCACGAGTGGATGAGAATGTAGACGCACTTAACAAGAAAATACGCGAAAAATTAAGCTCTCGCCACAGATCAATTGAACAGAGAGTCTTGTCAGAAGTGTCCTGTGAAGCAATGTCGGCGGCAACGTCAACTAAGACACCTACAAGTTGCAACGTTCCCCTATCTATAGTAATTCGCGAGATTCTTGCAACAACGGGGCTAAAGGGTAAGTTAAAAAAAACAATACCTGCTTAATTTATAAGAATACTGACATATACGTTATATACGTTTTCCATTAGAAAGCAAATTGTTTGCCTGTCCACAAAAAAACTGCAACACTACTCTCAGCAAGGAAACTTTTGTCAACCACGTTATGTTCCATCTTAGCAGCAGCGGTGCCGGCCTAAGTATGGAGGGAATCCACTGCAAGCACTGCAAGCATCGTGTGTCCTCCGATCGAGCATCTCAAATGGTCAATCATCTCCATCAAGCACATCTTCAGCACAGATATTTCTGCGGAATCTGCATAGCGACAGCCTCCAATGGCAGGTTAATGCAATACCACATACGCACCGTGCACTCACAAAACTTCCAGTTGGTTAATCGTCAGATTCAGTTTGTGCAGCTTCCCGGAATAGCTAACAACTCCTCTAAATCAGACGAAAAATACTGGGTGTGTGCTTTAGAGCATCCATTTGGCAAAAAACAGATTGACAATTTTACCAACATGCTAATCAACGAGTGGCAGCAGCGAAAACAAGGAAGCAAACTCATATACTGGCCCTCAGAGTTGCGCGTGCTGCCGCGTCAAAAAGTTTTCAGCCGGGAGGTGCAATGCGGGGAGTGCAAGTATAAAACAAACTCACGTAGCGTCTTTCAGAACCACCTGCAATCGCATTTGGATCGCGCCATGCAAATGGCCTACGAAAGTGAGTGCGACGATCGCTGCGAAGAGGTAGATGGAGTACACCTAGAGCTAAGCGGGGGGGAAGACGGCACAGGTAAAACACTCGTGGTCGAAAATATTTCTTTTGAAAATGGCATCGACGCTCAGGCGATGCAATCTGAGATTCCGAAACATACAAAAGAGAGTGAATTGCCTACGAACTCCTTCTCTGGTGATCCTTCCCTGTCAAAATTAGTTTTAACACAAACTTCCCAAGTTTTGCCCGGTCGTCAAACCGCCGTGAATCCCAGATATAAGTACGTACCGAAGGAGAAGCGCTACATTTGCGGTGTGCGTAACTGTCAGAAGCTGCTTTCTACTGAGTATGGACTACGTCAGCACCTGACCATGCACCACCGTTACTCAGAATTATATTTTTGCTGCCACTGCAACGAAAATCGACGATGTGTCCTAAATGTAGACAACATTCTGCAGCACCTGCAACTACACAAGCAGCATCTCTACCAATGCGGAGCATGCACACGTTTCCACTCCAAGTGCGCACAAATTAAAACTCATATCAACGAAAAGCATGGTGGTGAGGACGTGGACATTATCGTGCACAAGCGTACGCATGCTTTAAGCTCTTTAGGCGAAGTGCGCTGGCTTAAGCCGTGTAAGTAAACAAATAATAAAATAAATCAAATATTATTCTTATTTACTTGACTCACTCACAATCCACACAACGCAGTCAAAACCGTGCACTCAAAGTTTAAGTGGGCATGCAATCTTTGCAACTGCTTGTGCCCTTCTCAAAATCAAATAGCGGAGCATGCGCGCAGCGCTCACAACCAGTACCGGCAGTATATATGCCCGCACTGTGGTTTTAACAGCTGTATCGGCGTCGATGTCATCAAGCATCTGCGAGCTACTCACCCCAATGAGCGTGTTGAACCTATTCAGAACTATAGATTCATTAAGGAGAAGCTAACGGTGGGATTTTACTGCAACTTTTGCGATGCCACGGCCAAGACTTACCAGCGCATGACAGCCCATTGTGAGAAGTCGCACAATTGTAAGTATCAGTACAAGTGCGCACATTGTCCATACGGCAACCCTTTGGAGCGTTCGGTAATAGGGCACACATTAAAAGAGCATAGTCTGGAGCAAGGTGTGGCAGTGCAGCAGTTCCAACGCGTGCAAAACGATTTACCTGATTCTGAGTTATGGAAGGAGGCTCGCCCCATTAAGCACGTAAATATTTTATTGGAAAAAATTCAACAGGAGACGGAAACCCACTGTGATGAAGAGGCCGATGCCATGGAGATTATATCTTCTGCAGAAGAAGAAGAAGCGAATTTTGAAGACATTACACCAACCAACGACAAACTTGTGAGTAACTCTGTAGTTTCGTAGTAGCCTGTACCCGTAGGGTAAAAAGGGTATATTATGTGCAAAGTATGTAACAGACAGAAGAAGGTATCTCCGACCCTATAAAGTATAAACATATATTCTTAATAAGCATGATGGGACAAATCGATCTTATTATACATATACTACTTTTATTCTGGATGAACGCAAGGATCTCAAAAAAAGCTTGAATAACCAAATTTGGTATCCAAATTCTCATAGGCTCGAGAAAAGACTAGTTTTTTTCCCCATTTTCCGCCCTATAGAATTCTGTCAATATTGCCCAAACTTGTCAAAAGCAATATCTATACAATTATCTACTTATGTTTCAAATTTCATCCAAATCGGTCAATTCAAGGAAAGTTATCAGCGAAACAATTTCACTCTAGTACTGCGTGAACTGAAAAATGTAACAGGCAGACCCACAAAGTATATATATTCTTTATCAGCGTGACAAGACGAGTCGATGCTGATGCTTTGACTCAACTGTTTTAGTGCACCCGATTAAAAGTTTCGTACCCACCGCTGTATTAGTTCAATATAACATCTCTTGCCTACACCGCATAATTGGATATCCTGTTCCATGTAATAAATAGAAAATAATCTCAGCTGTAGTTATATAGTATATTTTCTATTTATTATCAAAGGTCCTCAGTATGGAGTTTGCTTGCTCATATTGCAACGAGACGAACAGGAGCATTACCGAGCTGCGTCAGCAGCACTGGGTGCAACGGCACCCAGATCAGCCATTTTATTTCAGCGTGCAGCCGCAGCTAAAATGCGCACAGTGCCACGACTTTGTGGGCAACGCAAAGGCGATGCTCGACCATCTGCTAAGGATGCACCAGATACGCAACCTAATGGCCTGTGACACGCGTCGCAACAATGAATGCGCCTTTTGCGAATACAAATACCAAAGCTGCTACGATCTAATGCACCATATTTTAAAAACTGGCCACCTGTCCAATGACCTGAAGTATATGAGCGACTATGAATTGAATTCTATACTTAACATTGGGAACGAGGGAGCCCAAAATGAATACTTCCAGTGCAACATATGTTATATCATTATGCCCACACAGGTGGCAATGGCCCGGCATGGATCCGTAGAACATATAGAGGACAAATTTTGCTTTAGGCCGATAACGCAGGATATCATATACCACTGCTCGTTTTGCATGTTCGCCTCAACAGAAGAGCAGACGACATTAAAGCACATGTTAGAGCACTACAGAAAATTCCGCACCTGCCACTTCTGCAATAGTAAACAGGATGGCGGCTTCGAGGAATACATACAGCATTGCTATAGCTTACATAACACGGACGTGCACAAGTTTCCTGACGTACATACGTTTAGTGATCTGAAAAAGTTTTTGATGCAGGTGCTGTACCAGTTTCGAACTGGCCTGGTCATCAGCAAGAGCAGCCTGCGTCAAACGCGCTACAATAGCGAGTACGTTATGCGGCAGCTGTACGATGATTTGATACGAAAATCGCAGCAACCGCCTCTACCACGTCTAAAGATCACCAAGACCCGAAATCCAACTACAAGTGGTGTAACAGTGTTGACAGAAACAGCAGCAACAAGGCAAGCCACAACAGCGCCAGCAGTGAAGACCTGTTATGAGGTACACAGTAACATTAACGACGGAACAACTGGCCTTGTAAAGATCACAATGCGTCGTAAAACTCTCAATCCCAATGAATTACAAGCAGTGCACAACGTTGTTTTACCTTTTGGCACTTCTTTACAGTCCACTCCCTCATCAATCTCAAACCAGCTCAGCAAACCAGAAACTTGTAATCGACAAGCCTCCCCTACTGGGTCGATACAGACATATCCAGACGCTCCAGCACGCATTACAAAGCGCCGGAATACCTACAACATAAATGCAGCCAATCTTTCCATGGCATGTGGCTCAAAACGCATTTGTACGCTTGACCAGTTCAATGCATCATGTAAGAAATAAATCAGTCAAATTACTATCGATTGGCCCAACAAAATATATTAATATATTGTTAATATTAATATTAATATATGTTTTTGTGTAGCTAATAAAAAAAATAATAATTCATTAACGTCTTTCTTAAATATTTTTTAAGTTGTACCTATTTATGCAGAAACTATAATTTAAGTCTAATGTTAAAAAGTCTTAGGGCCAAATATAATGTATTTGCTCATGCTCTTGCCAGAGCTAGCTGTGGCATTTCGTTAAATGTAAATTATGTACTATATATAAATAAATGAAGCGAATTTTCAAGTGAAATTAATAAATTATTCTTTAAAGTGCCCCATGTTTCCATGCTACATAGCTAGTTTAATTTATTTTTGCATGGTATCTATACATAGATATTAGAACAAAGTTCTTTGACGGATGCCATCTAAAGAGAAATTTATTAAAACAGTGAACTGTTTATTCTCTGGACAATTAATCGATGTAAATGTTTAGTGCGCACCTTGCGACTGAGCCTCAAAGTGATATCCTAGCGCTTAATGAATGACATCTCTTCAATCGGGTCGCATTCTCGTATGCCAATAATGTGAAGATTATTCTATCTTAAAACGACACTTTGAAACACATTTGTCCGCAACGGTGCAGTATTGTTAATCATTTGCACCTTTACTTTTCAACGGATCAAAATTTTGGGCCTTGCCAAACTTCTTTAAATAGTTTTTGGTTATTTATGTTCTCATTTTCTCTTTTCCACTTATTTCTCTTTTGCAAAGTTTGTAAATATTCTTACTTCCAATTTTGTCCAGGAAATGACCAGGTGTTTATACTCTGTACATGAAATGTACAAAAGTGTATTAGGTTTGCGGGAAGTGAAAAATGTAACAGGCAGAAGGAGGCGTGGCAGACCCCACAAAGTATATATATTCTTGATCAGCATGACAAGACGAGTCGATCTAGCCCTGTCCGTCCGTCCGACCGTATGAACACCTGGATCTCAGAGACTATGAGCTAGAGACTCAAAATTTTGCACAAAGATGCCTCATGTGTGTACGCTGTACGAGTTTGTTTTATTTTTTTGATTTTCCCCCCTGCGGGGGTTTTTCCGCAACGCCGTTCGTATAATCGCCTATATCTCGGAGACTATAAGACCTAGGGACACCAAATTTTAGACCCAGATGCCTTGTGTGAATACGCAGAAAATGTATATTTTGGAATTTCCCTCCCTCCCCCCTCTCCCATGCAAATTGCGATTTGTTCTAATGCCCGTAATTCTTGGAATTTCGAACTCAAGCTGCAAATACCCCCAGATAGTGATTACGTGACTGTATGCCAAGTTCCACTATGATAGACCAATTTAAGATATTTTACATCAAATTACAATAAAGATATATATAAAATTATGTTGTAATTTCAACTAAAAAATAAGAAAGCCTCTAAAATAAAACAAGAGAGAACGCTACAGTCGAGCAAACCCGACAGTAAAATACTCTCCACAAAAAAGGAAATTTAAAAAAAAGAAAAAATAAAAAAAAATTAATTATTAAAAAAAATGAATTAATTAATTTAATTAAATTAGAATACATGTTTATGTTCAGTTCTAACAGCATACATTTACATCACGTACCTATGCGTGTTTCTATGCGTGTATGTATGCAGCACAAAGTTGAACCAAAGCAGCAACAACAACAACAGCTGCGGGCAGCGCATGAGCAGCGATTTTATTTATGGCTATAACTTTCTTCAGAATTGACCTATCATGATGAAACTTGGTATATAGACACATAATCACTAACATGATCTAGCTACCTAATTTTAGTTCGAAATACAATAATGTTTGTTTTTTATAGCCTGTACCCAAAGGGCGAAAGGCTATACTAGTTTTGTGCGAATGTATGTAACACACAGAAGGAGGCGTGGCAGACCACACAAAGTATATATATTCTTGATCAGCATGACGAGAGAAATCGATCTAGACATGTCCGTCCGTCTGGATGAACGCGAGGATCTCAGAAACTATAAAAGCTAGAATAACCAAAGTTGGCATCCAGATTCTCCTAGGTCCGAGTAAGGACGAGTTTATTTTTTTTTTTAATTTTCCCCCCTTCCCCCGCTGCAAAATTTTATTCAATTCGGTAAATTCTAAGAAAAGTTATTAGCGAAACAAATTCTCGCCAGTACAACCCCCACAAACTGCAGCAACAAGTTCGCTCTTCTTCCTCTTTTTGCTGCTGCTATGGGCGCATATAACTCAGTGACGGAAGTTTACCTGGGTGCAGGGTATTAAACTGTCGGGCTTGCTCGACTGTAGCGTTCTCTCTTGTTGTAATTTTGAACTAAAATTAGGTAACTACATCCCGTTAGGGGTTATGTGTCTGTATGTCAAGTTTAAACATAATAGGTCAATTCTGAAGATAGTTATAGCCATAAATAAAATCGCTGTCCATGCTCTGCTTGTACAAGTAGTGCTGCCGGCAACGCTGCCTGCAGCTGTTGTGTTGTATATATATTCTTGATCAGAATGACAAGCCGAGTTGATAAAGCCATGTCCGTCTGTCTGTCTGTCCGTCCGTCTGTCCGTCTGTCTGTCTGTATGAACGCAAGGATCTCCGAAAGTATAAGAGCTAGAATAACCAAACTTGGTATATAGATTCTCCTGAGACCGAGAAAGGACGAGTTTGTTCATTTTTTCTGATCCACCCCCCCACTCCCCCCCTATTAACGATTTTCTATAACTGGTAGTCACATTAGATTAGTGATTATATATCCGTATACCAAGTTTCATTATGATAGAATGATCGGAAAGAAAGTTATAGCCATAAACCCGGCCCAAATCACACATACATACATATGTGCAAGTACACAAACACGCATAAGGCACGATTCTGATGTAAATGTATGTATGCATGCATGGAATATTTTATATTTAATTTAGTTAATTAATTTAATTAAATTAATTAATTAATTAAATTAATTAAGATTAAAGCCATAGCAGATCTCACCGTCACAGCAATTGAACATAAAACACTAAATTCAACAAAAGGTGTCATCTACTCTAACGAACTAAGATTCATAGAAGAGAGCGAAATACTCTCAGAAGTAAAGCCGCAAAAATCACCGAAGTACGCAAAATACTTAAACAGCAGGAAGACAAACTAGTAGAAACGGGGCTTATTATCATTACGTTCGCCACACACCAGCTGCCAGAATGGTTTCAATTGGGTACGAAAAAGTTCATGTAAGGCCCTTCGTCCCTCCCCCACTTCGATGCAAAAACTGCCTTCGTTTCGGTCACCCAAAAGCGGTCTGCAAAAGCACCGAAACTTGATATAATTGCTCCCAAGAAAAGCACACTACAGACAACGAACCATGCACCAATAGTAAAAGCTGCATAAACTGCAAATTCAACCCCGATACTCAAAACGATCACAGCCCACTCAGTAAACAATGCCCAGAATTCAAAAAACAACTGGAAATATCCACTATAAAAACCAACAATAACGTTGACTACAAAACAGCAAAAAACATTTACAACCAAAGGCATAACCCAGATCTACATACAACATTTGCAAACATACTACAACAAGAACCATCCAAAACAAATACACAAAATCAACCAATTAACAACGAACCCACCAAATACACTAAGCAGTCCAATCCCAGCTTAACAAATCCACAAAGTCAACAATTATATAGCAGCCAAATACGTAACACAGCACCTAATAACCAAACATCAACTTCGTCCAAAGCTCCACAATCCACCAACTGCACAAAACAGTCCTATCTGACCTCAATTCTACAACCAAACCCATTACCAACAGAACACGCTATTATCACAGCCGCCAGCACATCAAAACAACTAAACAGGAAAATTGTACAATATGATAACCTACAGGATGATCTAATGGACATTTCAACAGACAATGATTCATCACTATACGCATCAGAAATTACTTTAGATCTTAAGCTAAGTCTATATAAAGAAGATAAAACTAAAAACCATTCCACCCCCTTTAAAGCCAAAGAAAAAACAGAAATAAAAACAAAAGCCAAAACTACTCATATATAAAAAAAAAAAAAACTTAAATAATTATGACACTTAAATGTTTACAATGGAATATTAGAGGATACACTAACAACTATCTAGAACTACAAATACTAATTAATAACTTCCATCCAAATGTAATAGCACTGCAAGAAACATACCTACATACCTCCGCAAATATCCCAATCCCAAAAAACTACTCACTACATGCACTCAACACTTCACCACACTTCGGCGGAGTGGCAATCCTAACCCACAACTCTCTACACACTAAAGAAATTAGCCTGCAAAACGACTTCGACGCAATCTGTGTCGAAATCAAATCAAAGAGGAAAATCAAAATTATCTCGGCATATATACCTCCTAGACATAATTTCAACCTTCTTAATCTACAAAACGTTCTTAACTTCCAACATAACACCATAATTGTTGGAGACTTCAATATTTATTTATTTATTTTAACATTTGTAACTTAGAATTAATCCTAAATCACAAAATTTGATACATAAAAAAGTATATGTATAGCCAGAGCAACGAAGGCCTTCAGGCTGGTTTTTTTTTTATACTCTGTACATGAAATGTACAAGAGTATATTAGGTTTGCGGGAGCTGAAAAATGTAACAGGCAGAAGGAGGCGTGGCAGACCCCACAAAGTATATATATTCTTGATCAGCATGACGAGACGAGTCGATCTAGCCCTGTCTGTCTGTCTGTCCGTCTGTCCGTCCGTATGAACACCTGGATCTCAGAGACTATAAGAGATAGAGACACCAAATTTTGCACGAAGATGCGTTATGTGTGTATTCTATACGAGTTTGTTTTATTTTTTTGATTTTCCCCCCCACTTCCCCCCTATGGGGGTTTTCCCGATTTTCCATTCGTATAATCGCCTATATCTCGGAGACTATAAGACCTAGGAACACCAAATTTTAGTCCCAGATGCCTTATGTGAATACGCAGAAAATGTATATTTTGGAATTCCCCTCCCTCCCCCCTCTACCCCGCAAATCGTAACTCCCGTAATTCTTGGAATTTCGAACTAAAATTTTGGAAATACCCCCAGTTAGTTATTATGTGTCCGTATGCCTAATTTCATTATGATTGACCGATTTAACAAGAAGTTATAGCCATAAATATATTTGCTGATGCAGCGCTGCTGCAGCGCTGCTCAAGCGCTGCCCGCGGCTGTTGTTGATGTTGCTGTTTGGTTGACTGCGAAAATGCTTACACAGACACGAATAGATGCGCATAGGCATACATACACTCACAC